AATGAAAACATTTATGATAAGATAAGATTTAATAAAATGGTCCTAAATAGAAGAACCAATGACACTGGTAATAAAGTGATTATCAAAGGTCAAGCCTTGCTTGTCATACCATACGGTTCATGCAAAAATTACCAAAGAGTTATTTTTACAAAAATTTCGCATTTATGCAAACAAAAGTATATTTTTGAAATGAATAGAGATCTTCACAAGAAATATTTCTAAAAAATTTGATTTCTTATACTAAAAAAAAGCAAAAAAGGAACAGGCCATGTGGAACCAGTTTGTTCGGCTTCTTTTTAGGTAGCAGTTGATTTATCCACCACACTACTGCCTACCAAAATTATGGTGCAATTTATGTTCACTCTCAATTCTGTTCTTTTTAAAAATAACATTTACTGGCAATATTTAAAATTAACAAAATATATTTATTAAAAAAATAGCTAAACTACTTAAAAAGTGGATCAATTATTAATTAGGTAATAACTTTTCAATAATTAGCACAGTATACTAAGAATAATAATATTAGGCGTTATTATTATTTTTTGGTATTGATATTTATTTCCGGCAGTTATCAACTTGAAATGATATTTACACAGCTTTGTTACCATAAAAAGTGTAAACAATTTTACATCTCGTTTGTAAACTGTCCCTTTTTTTTGCCTAATTAAATTAAAAGTTATCATTACTGCCGATAATATCACAAACAATGATCGTTGCTTTGGTAAGCAGTAATAACAATGTATTAATGCAAATTATTGCAGATAATATAATTATGATTATGATTATTAATTTTATATCAATAATCTTAACATATTATTTTATGCTATTTCTTACATGCATCTATAAAAAATGTGAAAAATTTAAACTTTCTTTCCATGATCATTTACTTTCAGAACAGTACCGAAATATTTAAAAAAGTTCTGCTTAACAAAGTTTCAAATATTTTTAGCTAAATTCAAATCAAAATTGAAACTAAACATAAAGTTTGATCAGAAATTGACCGCCAAAATGAGTCAAACATTTTATCAACAAATTTTTTGATTTTGCTGGCAGATGCACAAAGGATAAATGCATTTTACTGTAGTGAAAACTATTTCTTTACAGAAGAAAGTTGATATTAGCATAATTTTACCAATTTAGTAAAAGTTTTTTGCAATTGTGCGAAAGATTTTATCATTTCAGTCATTTAAAATTTTATTTTGAATACCATATTAAGTACTTTAATTATTCAATTTAAGATATTTTGGAACAATATTAATAGTATTAACTTTGGATTGTAGTATTAACTTTGGTATCAAACAGTATTAGTATTAAATATTAGTAGTATTAACTTTGGTATATACTACCAAAGTTAATGCTAAAATTATAGTATTTACTTTGGGATTCATAAAGATTTTTGTAAATGCTCACTTTGAAAGGATGTAAGCCTCTGAAAACAATTTCTTCACTGCTCAATTTTCAAATAAAGTTGAAAAATTCAAGCACAAAGTGCATTTCCAATTAATTTGATTTTGCATTAATTTTTATTAATTTAATTTTATATTAAATTAAAAATACACGATTTATTTTAAAAACTTAAATAAAAATTGAGCTTGTAAGTAAAACCTTTTTTAGATTTTTAAATTACAGTTTAAGAAATAATAATCAATTTTGATAAAGTGTTTGTTATAAAATATGAATTTTTATCATATGCAAGTTGAATTTGCAAAATAGTTAAAAAGTTGGCAATATTTAAATATGCAAATTAGATGGAAATTGAAGATAACAAGTTATCAAATGGATTTTATCAAGTAAATTAAACTAACCAAAAATGATTATTGTTTGATAGTACTTCGGCAGGGTTGGTGTGCTTCTCATTCAAATGCGTATCCATTAACATATCTTACTTACACAAATGTAAGGTTTTTATTAATTAGTATGCTCTTTTCATTCCATTCTGTTAGCTTCAATTTTTGCCAGTAAACTTTTAATATTCCGCAAAAATTTAATCGTACAATCTTTTTAAAAAAATAATAATAATAAATTCAAAATAAACAAATAAATAAAGTATTAATTTCTATAAAAAAACACAAAATATTGAAGTATATTACTTTAAATTTTGATTTAATAAAAAATATCAATAAAAATTTTAAATAAGTCTGATATTACTTAAAGAATTGCAATATAAATTTGTGATTTATAGAAGATTTTTGAAAAGCTTACTAATACACAAATAAAAAGCAAGTTTTTTAAAAATAAACTTTTCAGTCCTTTAAAAATTAGTACATATATTATATAAATTAATATATGCACTAAATGAATGTTTTTAAAATTCAACTTTTGAAAAAAATACTATTTTTTATTCTTATTTTTTGAATTTTCAAAATTATTTTTCTCATTTAAGTTTTTGGTACTTATAGTCAATGCAGCATTAGTCAAAAATAAATAATACTTTAATCTTTACTTCATATTTCGAAGTTTTTTAATATTTTTAAATATGAATTTAAAAAAATAATAAAAATATGCATTTTAATTTTTAAGAATGATAATAATTCATTTCAGGAAGAAACAGTTCAGGTAAAAATTTATCTTTACTAAAATTGTTTTAAATATTAAGTTGTGCAATAAACTTATTATTAATATTAAATAAATAAATTATTATTGAATTGTTGAAAAATATCATTAAAACAATATTTTTAAAAATTAAAAATCTTTTTGAGCATTAAAACTGATGACTCTCAAGCAATTTTCACTTAGTATTTAATAACTATATATCTATTCTATAAATCAATTTTTGTATGATTGTATAGACCGATTATGAATTATTTGATCTACATAAAAGTCAAGATTAAAAATTCATTACCAAATTTCACGTTATTTTACGCTTATTAGTAGTAGGTATTTGTTGCGTTAAACCCGAGAACTGAAAAAACAATCATATTTTGTCATGACTTATATCCTCTATGCAAAGTTCCTTGTAACGCAGAACGTTTTCCTTTAAATTTAAATCAGTCGTTACTTGCGACGCACTGCGAACAATTTGAATTAATAATTTCTTTCTGCTTTCTCCATGCATTTAAAAACTTGTAGGATCTACTTCAAAAAGTGATTTAAATTGTATGATCAAAATTTAAAGCTTGAGTTCCAAGTAAACTGCTTCGATCTTTTTCAATTACGAACTTTATTTGATGTTCAAATTGTGCACAATCCTTGGTCAAATTTCAATTTTTTTGTATTTGTGCTTCAATATATCCATATTTAGTTTTTCCCCAGTCGATATTTAAATTTTAATCAATAAATTCAATTATTTCAAACAATGCTCAATATGAAATTATAGTAGTCAACATAATATACCAAGTAATCGCCAGCGGATTCTGTCCATGCCGACCAAACATCGAAAACGGTTTTACCATTTGATGTGCTTTAAATATGATAACTTTAAATATGCAACTTTTTCGTAATTTAAATAGCCTTTTTCAGTAAATTTTGGGATTTTAGATAAGTTTGAACTCATTTGAGTACTTTTCCTCTGTGTAGAATAAACATCACTTCCAAAAATTGTTTTTAAAATTAATTATTACTGATCAGAGGTGATAAAAATCGACCATCAAGTCAGAGATACAAACTTGGTTCAAGACACAAAAAATCAACTTCTTTGACTGTAAGTTCATTTGCAAGGATTAAATCGTATATAATCAGTCAATAACTGATTAATGTGATGATGGAAAATTTTTTGACCAAAACTATAAAAAATAATCTTGATTTTGATGGCTTAGAATATTCCTTTGTATGCTCGTTTTTATGTCAAATATTTTATTTCACACAATAAATCTTTGAAATAGCCAAAGAATACAGGCTTCATATTGCGTACAAAATTATAGAATTATTCAAATATGCAAAATCATTAAAATTCGGACAAAATTATTTGATTTTTGTGTGCAAAGATGCTTGCAGGATCAAATCTGTATAATCTAAGTCATTAATGAATTCAAACAAATGAATAAATTGAAAATTAATTTCATTTGTTTTAAACAATTTTTCTTCACTGGTAAATTTCATTTTTGTAAGTTCAGAAAATTACAGTACACAGTTACAAAAGCAGACGAAAATGAATTGTCAGGCTTAGAAGCAGATCAGCCTTATGAAAAGGATTTGGTAATCTCTGATAAACAAGCAATTATAAAAGTTGGGGAAATTAAGTAAGATCTTAAAGTAAAACTAAACAATTTAGTACCTTAATTGAGTTTAAGTAATTCATTACTTTACCGTGAATTAAAATCATGAATTAAAATAATTGAATTATAAATTGAAGGTTATAAATTAAAATAACTGAGTTATAAATTAAAATTATGAACTAAAATAATTGAATCGTGAATTAAAAATTGAAATAATTGCATAGTGAAAGAAAATATTTCTCCTCACGCTTTTGTAACTCACGTTTATTTATCTTCGTATTTCTTTGGTAATTAAACGAATCAGTTTTTTTAAAAAAATATTAAAAATGAGTATTCTAATTTTGGTCATTAATTTATTTAATAAATAGCTATACGGTGCAGTCTTCGCTGATCAATGACTACGGTAGAGTCATGATGGTGTCAAGTAATGATTCCCAACCCCTACTTTTGCATTATGAATCGACCAAATCAACAGCTAAACGTATAAAAGTAGTTTTCTTCAATTTTTTAGTCAATAATTTCAGTTAAAATTAATGAACTAACTGTTGACAAACCGAAAAAAATTCAAATATGCATGGATTATATCAAAGTTTTGCGCGCCATTTAAATTAAATTCTCGACTGCTTTATAAATAGGACAAGAAAGAAATGAAATTGAATAATTTTTGAGGCAATTTAGGTTCGTAATGACTTGCGTAAAAATTGATATAAGTAATTAGCATGTCTTGACATGTAATAAATTAATGAAATAAATGAATACAATAATATAATCAAGAAAAGTGCATCAATTTAAAGTAATTGAACTAGATAATAATGAATAAATATTTAGACTGAAACTCGTGTACTGATGTACTGTACTAAATACAATTTAAAACATACTTACCGAGTCGTCGCAGCTGGACACCATGACACCTTGAAAATCCAGTATCTCGTCACCAAATGTGTAATACAGTTTAACTATTTCAATGATCTCACAATTACTACTTTGCAATTTTTTGTTTAAACTTCATTTTTTGATAACAATTATTTTTTGATTAGCAGAATTTAAATTAAATTGCTGAAAAATTTAATTTTTTGCAGTATGGCTTGTCCATAGCAGATCAGCAATCAAATCAGCCAGATAAAAGATTTTCTAAGCCAACATGTCTTAAACTAGGCTTAAGAACACTAAAATGCCTACAACAACTTCATGAAATTGGCTTTATTCACCGAGGTACCAGAACTTAGCAGTTGCTTTTGAACTAGACGTTTAAATAACTTATCAGTATTATCTACCAGATAACTTTTAAATCTAAATCAAATAATTTAACGAAGTTCGTCAAGTTATATTTACCTAATATGTTCTATAAGTTATGGTTTTTTAAGATATCAAACCACAAGTTTTTGTAACAGATGCTACAGAACCTCAAAATATTTATATCGTACATTTTGGTCTCGCACGTCGTTTTAGGACCAGGGAGTGTGCTCACTTGTAAGTTAGCTTTAGTAATTAAATTACTTTTAGTAATGTGCCATTCAGTCATATATTATTTTATTATTAGTGTTGGCAAAATATTTTTTTGAGCAAAAAATATCAAATTATATAAAAACAGGGCAACTTTTAAAGACTAGCTTACACTTGGTTAAAACGGCTGGCTGTTCCAAATTGGAAAATGATTGAAGCACTTGCATTATTCTTTCACATAAGCTTGAAAGATTAACCTGCTACGTAAAGGAATTTTAAAACTAATGTTGAAAGGAAACAGGAACTGACTTTTGAGCGATTTTTTGCATCTAATCCCTCAATGATAAGATATAACTGTGTGATAATTTTAAAAATGCGTCAAGTACGAGTCATTGAGAGGTAATTGCAGACCACGTCGTCCTTCACTAGCTCTGTTAGGAGCAGTGAAGTATATTTCACGTAACGCACACAAACGAAATGATAGATCACAGTGTGATGATATTGAAAGCTGGTTTTACGTGTTGATTGAAATGTTCAATCGAGAATTACTTACTTGGACTGACAAAACTAAGGAAGAAGAGATTCGTCCTGAAAAAGAAGCATTCATGACTGAAAGAGGTTGCATCCTTAATTTTTCGCATTAAATAATTTTAAAATTAATAAAAAATGGAAATTAAAATCAAAGTTTTTTTTCTGTCATCCAACGTTTGAAGTTAGTACTTGCAAGTAATTTAGATCAAGCTCAAATTAGAAATCATCTAAACTATCTAATCGTTTTCATCAATCTCATCCTCAGTAAAATATCTAGTTTTTTTTACTCCCATTTTCAAGTCAATTAATTAATTAATTAATTAATTAATTCAATAAGAACAATTAAATTGCATGAATTAAGTGATTTGATAATAAATTTTCGAATTATGAAAAATATAAAATTTAAGGATTTCAAAAAACGACAGAACTTTGTCAAAGTATACCACAAGCATTCTTTGAAATACTTCGGCATATCAATACACTAACGTTCGCTGCAAAACCAAATTTTACTAGGATGCGAAAAGTACTTAAAAATGAAATCGAAGTAAACGATTTCAAGGTGGGTCTTCAAATTATTCAAATCGAAGCAGATCTAGTCACGAAGAAAAACTAAACATTCAGAATTTTTAGATCTCTAAAAGTTACCGTTTACAAAAAGGATAATTATGTGAAAGAAATAGTGTAATTTGATATAGAATCCTACATTGCATTACTTAGACTGAACCGTATGATTGGATCAAAGCAGAAGGCAAGAAGATAAAGTGTACTGATAACGATACGAGTTCGAGATCCGAAGACATAAAGTCGGATGTTCGCTCTCCTGTGACATCACCACCTCGCGTAGAGCCCATCTGAGAACAACAAATGATGAACCTAATATCACACTACTAGATAAAAGTTTTATAACAAAAAGTGGTAATAAGAATTATTTTCTAGGCACTGGTGAAATATTTCATTGAACTATAATCTTCTCACATCAGAAACTTTCAAGGGAATGAATTTAACTCAACTATTGTAAAGCAAAGTTCACGCTACTATTTGATACAGATATATTTGATGTCAATTTAATAGATACTTTTCAAGTCAAATTTCTAAAGTTGCATCTGAATTCTAATTATACTCTTACATATATCCAGTAATCTGCTACACCCTTCTCCAGTATCTCGAAGTTCACATATGTAGAAGAAGTATACTTTACAGTCTCAAAATTCACCCAATATTTTGAAGTTTATTTTAATTTCCAAAAATTGCTGATCACTTTTGAATCTCGAAACTCACTTGAACCTTTTCTTAATTTTTTCATAATATTAGAGGTAAATAAATACTTCTCAGAGAGAAAAATGTGAAGTAGATATTAATGTCTTACGTCACTTGCGCAAACATGCTGATGAAGATCATTCTGCGTTCAAAAGTTCAAATAAATCTAATTGCTTAATTTTAAATAATAATTACGGAATTTTCATAAGTAGTTGATGCAAAGCTTACTGAACTTTTACTTCTTTTTCGACTTCTTTGAATCGACTACAATTTATGACTGCAAGCGTCACTTTTTGAAGACGTCTCTACTTTTTATTGTTGACCTTTGAACTAATTTCTTTGACTCTGACTAAAAACAGGCCTAAGACAATAAGGAGAACCTTGAGTTGACCTCTCCGACTTCTGAATCGTTAATATTTCATGACATTCTTGCAAGAACAATTCTAAATATAGTTAATAACTTCCAAAATTCTCTGTAACTGCCTTGAGAGATGAAAATGTTGCATGACGCGATTTGAAATTGCGATTAGGTCGAATTTTACTCTTATTATTCGTCCTGTACTATGTGTGTTGTATGAAGTATTGTAGTATTTCCGTGCATGTTATTTGGTCTGGGTAGTGATGTTAACGTTATAACGTGGGTCATCTTTTAATATTTGACGAATGTTAAATATATCTGTCGATTACATCGTTATTTAATATGAAATATTTATGTTGTGATGTAAATCCATCTGCTTATTGTGCAGTTTTGTAAGATGAGTACAAACTTTATATACAACAGGTTGAAACATGTTGAAGAAATTGTCCCATTGATTGTGTTACAGTACTTTTTAAGCTTTTAAGATTTAGCTATGTTTGAGTTGAATTGAAGAACTGACTAGAATTATAAATGCCAATAATTAGACATAAGGATCGAAAAATGTAGCAGGTTATAATTTAAGTCATCAAGGATTTTGACCTGTAGGTTTGATAAGTAGAATGTTGAGTATTTTATGAAATATTTTATATCTCAAGCAAAACAAGACTTTTAATATAGTTTTTGTAAAATAGATTGGCCCTCCTAGTCACAAATTTATGGCGTTGTTGTTACTATATAACATCTAATATGGTATTTAAGTTAAGGAAAGAGTTGTATTGATATTAATTGAATTTAATGTTTTCCTTAAATAAGGAAATTACACAAGAAGGAATTGTAGATGGTTTGAAAAATTCCTTTTATTTAATTTAATGTGTTGTTTGAAGTTGAATTTAATATGCCAAGTGTTATTTTACATTCTTTTGGTAGGAAACATGAGGTGCGTGGAAAATTTGGATATCCAGGTACGGTTCAGTGGAATATTTGTATAAACAGATTTATGAAGTAAGTTTTTGCTAGTAATTCAGGTGAAGTTTAATTAATGCAGCTTTTATCAATAATTTTATAGATTGTTCGCCTAGTACTAGCTACCGTTTGTGTTAAAAAAAGTTTCGTTTACCAGATTAACTTAATATTTAAGTTTTTGAACAAAGCATGTTCAGACAGATTCATCTATCTCACTTCAATTGGTTGCGAATAATTTCCTTGAGTATCTGTTTAGTAAAGTGAGAATTTGGTTTTGATTTTGTTCACTTACCTTTAAATTTAATTTTAAAAATTTGTTTTATTTCAAAATGTGAAGAATTTCGGCTTTGTGGAGGTTTTAGTGACAAGAAGTTTTAAACATATAGCAATTGGGTTTTAGTGATTTGAAATAAATTCTTCGTTCTCTTCTCTTCTTGTTTTATTCATTTTTAAAATTAAATTATGAAGCATCTACATATATAGATTTTTTGATTAGGAATTTATTAGAGTAAACATACAGTACGTGTTACAGTATTGCTTTATTTTCGAACGTTTTCTTTGTGCACTGGATTCCTTAGAATGGATCTATTATTAGGAATAATTCTGAAACAAATTGGTTGCCTGAAAAATTTTGTGATTTCAGTAACAATTTAAAAAATTGCCATATCATTCAAAGAAGTACATTTATTATTAAAACAACATTTTTAGTACAATCAGTTTGTCGATTTGTGAGAGTCTTAATCGAAGAATGGTTGAAAACGACGGAAAACAGTACTTAAGTATTGTAATTTGCATATGTAGGTTACGATGAAAAATTGCATATGTATGTTTTCTTTTCATGCGAATATTGGTGTCATTCTTTTTTTTGTGCGGAAGACTTTGTTATCACAATTGCTTTTTGTGAATTTTTGACTAACATTCTTCTCTTGATTAGCTAATTGAGGATTTGGCCTTTACTAAAACCTTCATAATCTATTCTCAGCTTGTTTTTTATGATTTATAAAATCTGAGAAAAATAAATTGAAAGGTAATAATGGAATAGACTGTAGATATCTATTTCAGTTTCATACCTACTTCAGTTTCAGGTTCTCCAGAAAATTGAAAAATGCAGAGTTGAAATGTGATTTCGTACTTGTTTCAGAAAATTCAAATGTAATTTGATAATTATTTTATTATCGCTTTTTTAAAATCCGAAAATGAATGTTAAAATTTTCAAATTACTTATGTAACTGCCTGTTACTTTAATTATATGCAATTTTAATTTTATCAAGTAATCAATTTTCAGTTTGTGAGCAGCTATGCTTTATATGCTGAAATTCATGCTTTCCTGTCAAGAAGCAGACCACTATTTTTTGCTTATTTTCCATGCATGCATTTTTTTCGGTATAAAAAGCACTTCATGTTATTCTTTTGCTTGCCATATTGCAGCATCACGTGCCATCTGATAAATTTTTACTGCTATATAGTGTACGGAAAAAAGTAGAAAAATGTCATCATCTATACAGTACTACTATACAGCACCAAAAATTTTTTGAAGATTCAAACTCTATCTGTTAAAAATATATTATTGTGCGAGTTCAGTGCATGGTACTCAGGAATTCAGTCTTGAATGCTGTGTTAGTGTAGCTTTATTTTACATGTTGCTAAAGCAACACTGATTCGGAGTAGCAAAAATTTTTCTCATTCTTTATCGAAAAAAATAATATTTGACGCGAAAATTTTGTATATTTCACGAATATTTTTCATAAGTTGATTTAGAATGCAATGTAAAGGAATGTAGCACGTTCATTCATTGTATTTTTGGACTGGTATCATATATTGCTTGAAATGCTTTACCTTCAATGTCATATCGTTTGCAGTCATTTCACATATATCATATTTAGTTGTGGCTATGTCCAGCATCTTTTATTGAAGCTTTGCTCGTTTTTATCTTTATCTTAATTTTCTTCCACATTCAATTCATTTTTCAGTTTTGACATAGACATTTAATTTTGGTAGCTGAAACGGCTTTCATAGTGGTCATTTTATCGTTATCTGTTTTTGAACTAGCAAAAGTGTGCAGCTGCAAAGTTAAAGTTGGTAATGCTTATTGATTATGGTGAATATCGATAGCTCCAAAGGAAATAATACGAGTTTGGGTTTACAAATCTTCTTGTTCTATTGATTAGTTTTTTTGCGGAACATATTAATTTTAGTATCGCGTAGTCTTCACCGTTTACAATATTTAGACTATTTATCCATATATATTTTATGATAGCTTTTTTTCCATTCTTTTTGAGTGTTATTTATTTCACTGATTTCGAGGGGAAATTATATTGATTGCAGTTTTGTGATTACCTATTACAGACATGAATGAAGTCATGAACAGTGCTGAATATCCTGTTCTTGAAACCCAGCAGGATTCGAATATTGTAGACGGCAGCGGACATGAACAGGTTAAAAATAAGTGCTTGTATTTATTGGGTGAAGAGGAATTAGTGGTTTCTTGAATATTCGTGATTAACAGTTACAACTTGTTTATATAAACATTGTTCGTATGAATTTTTATTCAGTATGTAGTATAATATATGTATGAAAACATTTTTGAAAGCATGACCTTTTATATTCACTTTTAGCTATTATATTAGTAACTGTTATAGACTAGGAAAGCACCCTACACTATGCATGGTGTATTACATTATTTGCAACACGAATGGAGCCGATATGAAATGGATCGAGCAGAATGGGAAATGGAAAGAGCTGAATTACAAGTTATTATTTTTAGGATTTTGTTATGCGTTATTAAATTAGTATTACTGAATTTGGTTAAAAAGAAAAAGATTAAAAAGTGATTGTGTAAAAAAACACAAGCAAAATCTAGTGTTGTCAAGCTGTGTTGTTCATATTTCTAATTAGCTTGCAGTAATTTTTTAGGCTCGAATAAGCTTCCTTCATGGTGAACGAACAGGACAAGAAAATTTGAAGGCGGATTTGGTCCGGCGCATCAAAATGCTTGAATATAGTTTGAAGCAAGAACGGTATACATTCATTTATAACATTTAAGATGTTATAATATATCCACCAAACTGATTTATATCACCTTTCACTTTTAAAAAAATTTCATGCTTTTGTAAAAATAAGAAACACAATTTATTGCATCAAATATTCCAAATGAAAAATTGTTTTCATTTTTTGTTGTTAAAAAATGTTTTGTTAACACTGCGTAATGTTATATTTCGGATCAAAAATCTCACACATTTTAGAGCTAAAAATTACCGCCTAACTCACAATGGTCAAGAATACCCAGAAGGCGAAATGAGCTCAGATGATGCAGCAGGTGCAGGTTTTAAGTGGCTTTTCATGTATTGATTGATGTAAGTAAATTTTATAAAAAATTTCAGAATCGATGGAACAAGTGTCTCTCGACGTTGATGCTTATGCTTCGCAGTATGATAAAACCAACAATTTTCGAAATGCGAGAGCTTTGTTGAGGCAATATCTTAAGGTAGTTATTTCATCTTTTTTTACAATTGAAAAACTGCAAGGTAGGTGAAAAATTTCAAAAGAACGTTCTCTTTCCGATATCATTCGATATTCAGTACTAATTTGAATTCAGGAAATTGGCTATAGTGAAGCAATTTTGGATGTTCGATCTTTTCGAGCCAAAAATTTGTTTGGATTAAAGTGCAATTCAGATAGGCCTGGTGATTCTAACAGGTGTTTGTTTTGTCTTGATTTGCCATATTATTTATTGAACTTTATATATTATTTCTATGTATATGAAGATGAAACATTTTTTGAATTTTTATCTGTAGAGCTATCATAAACATACACATCATAATAAGTTTTTAGTTCAGTAATTAAAAAGTCATTTCTGGTTGTTTCATCTTTTTTTACTATTCAAAAAGCTACAAGATAGGTGAAAATTTCAAAAAAACGTTTTCTTCCCGATATCTTCCAATATCCAGTACTAATTTTAATTGTACGTCGATTTATAGTCCGTATCGGCAAAGTGCTGCAAAAGCTTTCCATGATACTGACCGGGCTGTTATGGAAGCTGCTCATTACCTTCAGAAAACAAAAGGAGATAACGTGTTAACACTTGGAAGTGATGAGAGGTGCATGTTGATTCAAGCATAATCCACATATTCATAAACTATAATCCACAAATCATAGGCTCCTGACTTTTCCTTGTGATTTCAGTGATTCGGAAGATGATGGAAAGGGAAGAAAAAAAAATGCTCTTGATTCAGAGACAATAGATGCTCTTGGTGAATTTTCATTCTTAAATGAGAAAACAGGCTCGACCAAAAAGCGATTGGAAGGAAGTGGTGAATGGAGCATCAATCAGCATGCCATTGATCAAATGAAGGAAAGATTCAGGTATTTTTTCTGGTTGGTAGATTTCTGAGAAGCTGTGAAATGATACTGTTTTTTTCGACTGCAATTTTTTCGAAATGGAACTTTTAATTTTTGTAAATAAAATTTATTCTTTCTCCTAATTCAAGGTCTGAGCAAGAAAGAAAACGAAGTAATAGTCATGGTGATTCATTATCTGGTAAAGGATCATCGCAGCATGCGATGGGATCAGAAGACTTGAAAAAAGAGCCTTTTACAGGTAATTGTGTTTTTCTTGATATTACGAATTTCTTCTAATTTTTCTGCAATTTTTTTAAACATGGTATTATTGTAAGAAGATGATTTCAGTTTTTGGTTTTGCAGGAGATTTTCGACCATTTGATTTTAATTATATTTTTAGATGATATCAAGCAATTTTTCGGCAGCAAAGGAAGAAGAGAATTTTTAGACATTAGTTCAAGTTTTGGAATTGAGGATGAAACAAATATTGACATCAAGGACGACTTTATTGCTATTAGTGTATGTTTCAATACTTTACGTCATCCGTTTAAGAATGTGCATCTTTCATCTCAGGTTATATTACTTTCTTATAGAAATAAAGGTCCAGATTACTTTTCAGCCAGATGAAGACATCACGAGCATACGATGGAATTTAAAATTCACGTTGCGGTCACATTTTGACAGCATTCGAGCCATGCAGTTTCATCCTGTGGAACCAGTACTTATTACTGCCAGTGAAGATAGCACTGCGAAACTCTGGAACCTTGGTGGTGGGAGTATGAAAGTAGATTTGAAAGGAAGTATGTAGTCACTCTTTTGTTATTTGTTTAACAAGAATTTTCAAATGAGTTGATCGTTTAATTATCTATTGCACAATATCTCAATCTTATTAACTTTTTGTGATTTCTTGATTAATATTTGCAAATTATAACAACCTCCTCATTCTACTACAATGTTTATATTAAAAAAAGTAAAAGATTGCTTGCAACAGTTGCTCTATGTATTTTTCGCAGATCAAATCTCACCTCACTCTTCTTCAACAATTACCGAGTTGGAGCCAACTTATACGTTTCGTGGGCACAAGTATGGAATTGTTATTTTTTCATTTACATTTTAGTCTGATCCTACTCTTATCAGTTTAATAATAAGTTTCTTTAACCACCACTTTTCTCGTTAAAATGAATAGCCAACTCATGACTTATTAATAAGACAGCTATTTTATTTATAAATCTTGTTCTAGCTATTTACTTTAGAAATTTTTTTGCAGTTCTGCTGGCATTATAATAATTAGGATTTGTACAACAAGTATAAGAGCTTTGGTACTTTTTATTCTTGATAGTTCCTTAATATTTTTAGTGGACCAATTCTTTCAATGGATATGTCGCCAACAGGAGACATGTGTTACACTGGTGGATTTGATGGTTTGGTGTGTTGTTGGTCAGTGCCCTCAGTTAATAATGATATATACGAACCATACGGTACATTTTATCCTGTCAGAACTGATCGAGTTCTGTAAATATATTATCTATATGGCTTCATTTGCATCACAGATATATTATTTCTTGCAAGAACTTATGCAAGCAAACTCTTATACAGCACTTATTTTATTATCCAATTTCCAGAAAAAATTTTTTTTCATTCTTTAGTAAAAATTGCAGTTCATTTCATACACTTTTTTTGAACTTTCTTCTGTTTTATTAGTAAATATTAATATAGTGCAACACTGTTTGCAGATTCGAAAGTGCTTAGTGAGAAACTTAGGGGGCATAGCAATGCGATCTGGTCAATTGCATTTCATTCCTCAGATAATCGTCTTGTAAGTGCTTCCGCAGATGGAACTATCAAACTTTGGGAGCCAGGTAATGCTTTTCAATGAATCATGTGCTTTATTTTGTTTCGGATGCTGTGAAACTTGTCTTTGAGCAACTGATTTTATTTTTATCTGGATTACTGAAGCCAATCGGCACAAACTACTTCGTTTTATTCATAATTTATGTGTTGCCTGCTTTCTTAAAAAATATTTTTTGTAGTTACGCTGATATTTAAATAATTAAGATTTATATTTATGTAATAAGATAGTGAGAAACTTAGGGGGCATAGCAATGCGATCTGGTCAATTGCATTTCATAGTTTTTTGGATGTTTAGATATTTGAATCGTTGCAAACTTTGCAGGAAATACGGAAGCGCTTATTAAATCGTTTGGTCCACCCTTACCAAATCTCAGACCTACATCTGTTGACTTTGTTTCAACTGAACCTCAGCAACTGCTTGCAGCTTATAACTCATCATATGCTTCAATCATTGATCTCGAGACTGGTTGCAATATACTCTCATTTGATTTTGCTGGTGGTATGGTTTAGTTTATCGATATTCTAATTTCAGATGTATGATTAAAGCGATATTTATTCTGGTAATTATGGTTAAGGTTTAAAGAAGTTGATATAATTTTTAGCAGTTGTTTTATAAAAATATTTGTTTGTTTTAAAATTATTTTAGAAGACGCAGGAACAGTCACAAAAATATTGTCACATCCAACAATGTCAGTATCTTTAACTGCAAGCAACGATAGAAAAATTAGATATTTTGATAATAATACCGGTAATTATTTAAAAATATCCTTTTTTTAAAATCAAGTGGTACAAATGGAGAAGTTAGAAAGTTTTTTGTGAACTTTAGTCAGTTAATTCACTTACTAGTCTTTGCATCATAAAGTTATTTTGTTTTACAGGCAAAATAATCCATGGAACCGTTGCGCATGTCGAAGCTATTTCATGCTTAGCAATTGATCCGAATGGTCTGTATTTACTTTCTGGTAGTCATGATGGTTCTTTACGGCTGTGGAATATGGAAAAAAGAGTTTGTTTGCAGGTACTTTTTTTGGTTTCTTCGAAATTGTGGCTCTGATCACTGTTTTAAAAAAATTAATGTAACGGATTTACTTCAACTTTGTCATGCACTGGAGTTGAAGTAATGAAACGCATAATTTTTTCCATCTTTAGAAATGTTTCTATTCTTAGGAAATCTCTGCGCATCGCAAAAAATTTGATAGCGCTGTAATGTCGGTTGCATTTCATCCGAGCAGGCCTCTAATCGGTTCAGCTGGCGCTGATGCTCTTGCAAAAGTTTTTAGTTCCCAGAAATATTTGCATGACTACAATTCAGAATCCTAAATTTACTATTGAGATTATTCATGGTTATCAAGTACTGAAGAATCAGAAGCTTCCTGTATTCTCTTAATAATTGTGTATGTATCATTTTCTGTATATCGCTTACTGATGTTTCCAGTAGCTGACTTCTGGATATTTTTTTAAATGCAGAGGATTTTAGCATCTGCACGAAAATAAGTCATTCAGATTTCAAACTTTTTCTCAGTGATTTTTTCGCTCTACTTCTATAAAGTTTTACTGATCTATATTTCAAAACAAATCTGTGAATTGAAACCATGAATAGTCAAGTGACCGGACATATTTTTAAGCTGCCTTCAAAAAAATAGTAGCAGACAATTTCAGTTTCATTACGAAATTTTACTTGCAGCCTTATTTTTTTTCGATTTCTATTGAAGAATTGAACCTTGCACTATCGATCTGACAATGGATATTTCATTGTGATCTAAAGTCTTTTTATTAATTACTTCTCAAGGCTCTTAACTTTTGGCAAAAACTTGTCTCATAATTATATATTCATATGCGATCGATTTCTATTATTCATTTTATAGCTATTGCTTATACTCTTTCTATTCGGGTGTTTGTTTTGTACCAAATCGTGAACTGCTAATATGCTCTTCAGATGCTCTATTTGAATACATTTTTTTTGTTTTCATTTAAACGATTTCTAGTTCAAATGCAATTGTTATATCATATTAGACATATATTTCCAAATTTGTTTAGAAAATCTACGTTTTTATGATTCTGAAGCTGTGTTTGGTATATATATATTATTGTTTCTTAACACTGAACATATAGGTACATATAGGTTGAGTGGATTAACTGTTTTTGTTAAGAACGTGAGTTTAATTAGTTGGTTTTTTATTGACCTTAATGATTCTAACCAGTAGAAATTATTGCAGCTCAGAGGAGGCTGGTTTCACTGGTAATTTGAAGAATTGTCACATTGTGTTTTGTGATTATCTATGTACTCTTCAAGCAGTTTTACATGAAAGCCAAATTTTGATACTTGAGGAGTGAATTCGTAGATTCAGCATATGTTGATTCAGCTCATGTGTTCTTGATTGGTGAAATACCAGAAATTTATGTTTTTAATATTTTGTGTACTTTTTTTTACCTTGTCATAATGTGAATGAAGTGAATGTCACGTTTTTCAGTATTGGCATTGTAATACTACATTAATTTAAATTTTGAACTGCAAAGAAGATTAATTTAGCTGCATTAGTTTGGTTCACTCTGTGATTACTGTTTATTATAAATTAATTTATTTTTATTACAGATCAGTTAACAAAATATGTAGATTTGTAAAGTAGCAAATACACGATCTTATAATCAGGCAAATAAAAATAAAGTAGCAACATGTGTTTGAGACCAGCTGTATAGTTATGTTTTGGTGGTTTTGGTTGAAATCTTTTGCATTTTAATATTTAAACCAACTATGTACTATTGTAATAAAATTGAAACTGTCATTTTGACTTAGCAATTGATGATCTTCTCGTGACTGGGCCATGAAAGACTGCAGCGATTTGATTGCCATTCAAATAAAAGGCCAATTTCTGACTTCCCCATGGTAAATGTGCACAAAATTAAGGTTTTTCAGTGGGTATTTTGTTGTTAATCGGCAGTTGTCCAACTTCGAATCAGTTGATTGATGCTATTTCGTCGAATACTTCTGCAGTAGCTGTGCTTCTCGGCTAAACGGTCCACAGCAATATAAGTGTTTGCAATCAGATCCTTAACGTCTGCCATTACCTGGGCCCGATTTGGATTTGATAGAAATATCTGTAAAATCAGCAGTCATAGTTTCTCTATGTGTACAGTCATGCAGGTGATGAAGATTCATAATTTGTTGTAACGTAGGATTTAGTTGCGATCACAAAATAATGTAAGAACTAGTGTCGCGTTTTTGATAAAATTCTATCAAAGAAATGATACTCATCGTAGGATTGCTTTAATATCATCATCATAAGTCCAACGTCATGGCAAAGTTTTATCAGTTACTACACTAATTATAATTTGATCTATTTCGCTAGTATTCAAATAAAAACTTTATATATATAACTTTGTGTGCAAATATGGAGATCACACCAATTTTCCGCATTTTATGATAGTAATGATAATGGCTCGCATAATGATACTTATAGGAAAAGGCACTGGTGACTGTATTATCAGGAATGATTATACTTATGTAATTATACTGCAATTTCATACAAAATACTCAGCAATGATATTGTTGACTATATTAATTAGCAGTAGTCATATTAATTATCATTGTTATTCTTGACTATTAATCTCATAGTGTTAGAGAGTGCCAGAACTGGTTACCAGTAGTGGTAATATCTAATAATACAATCACCTACACTAATACCGCGTATACGATTACTAGTCAAGACTATCAAATAATCGAAAATTAAATATGTATAAACAGTGGAGTAATTATAATTTGAATGATAGAATCAACAAATAAGTGATTTAAGGCAAATGTGAGGGGTTTTGCACTGTATTGGTAAATGGATATTTCAAAGTTATATATCAAATGCTACCTGCAATACATTATCATCCAAAGAATTACATGAAGTCAGTTCTTGACCTTCGCAAGCTTTCCATATTACACGCATAAGTGAATTACGTTTTGGTATGTTTGTTTGATGTAGCAGTACTCCTTCTGTACTTGGAAAGTTTACCAATACATGGTGATTTCTTGTTGATTTTTCAGTCTTGTTTTGGATGTCTTCATCATTCTTAAATATCTTCAATTTATTTTTTGTTCTGTACTAAAAATATTAAACAAATTCGAAATAACTAATTACAATATCATTAAAAAATTTTAAAAAATGTTTCATTTTTCTTAGTATTACAAGAAATATTCAGTACTAAATAAACAATTATGTATGTACTGGAAAAAAAATACTTGTAAAATTTTTGTCATGCAATTTAGAAGCAGAATTTCCCATCCAACTCCATAATTTGCTGCTTCAATTAATCGACGATGAGAATCAGAAGTTGGTTGCAAATGAGTTCCAAGCAAATAAATATCATTGTGATTCAAAAAGTTCAATGAGATCAGTCATTTGTTTAATATTTGCTAATTTATGCAACAAAATATTACAGTAAATTGGCCATTATAATTTTTGATTCAGCTTATGTTCAAATATTTTACATAATTTGTGGGAAATAATTAGCAAATCACATTTTAAGCAAGTATATATGAATGGTTTTTTCTATTAATTTTCCTAAATAAGCGCTAAATGAGACTGTCTTTTTTAATTTTCCAATTGTTTGAACTCAATTTACGAATAAATTCTTTTTTTAACATTGGTGAAGAGCCTTAGTTATTGTAACGAAACTATTAATTTTAAAAATCCTCTAAATATGTGGCATATTATTTAAATTAAATGAAGTAAAAAGGTTAAACCTTGTAGAATCCTTCAATGAATACAAATGATGAATTAGGCAATGCCGGAAGTGACTTGATTGTTCGAAGTACGAAAGATTCTAGACCTGGTAAGATGTCCCGCGTTTGTTCAACGTTGAGATATTCGTATGCATATGGCTTTTGATCTCGAATAGTTTCAAATAAAGTATTGTCAGCGTTCATCTTAGCTATTGTACCTAAAAGGTATTAGATAATCTTAATTAAATTAAGCAATAAATAAGTTTAGTTGAAGTAAGCTACATTCTTACAATGTTTGGATTACAATTCATTTGAAGAATAAAAATTTAAAGATGTAAAGTACTAAAAATTGTTAATAATTTGTAAAATTAATTCTCAAATTCTTACAAATGAAACCCGAGCTACAGTAGAGCGATACAAACTCGTATCCATCTCTCAAACATTCTTCTACCACAAATTCATTCTCAAATTTGTTTTCCATTTCAAGTTTGTTCTAAATAAAACTGGCTATAGCCATAGTTAAGTCCGACTATCTCACAAAAACGGTTTCTTGTTTTTAGTTGAACTGATAAATCACTGACATATCACATCAAGATGGTCACTGATATTTCAGGTCAAGAGCACACTTGGTGGAAGAATAATCATTGATAACGGCAAATAAAAATCACCACTTAATCATTTCAGTTGAAAATCATGCAAAAACAATTCAGTCAAAGTAATGTAAATAAAATATATTGTTAATGTTCATTACTCTAAAATGCAAACTGCTGTTTTTAATGCTAATGGCGCATAGTAATTGGAAAAGCTTAAATATAAAATACACCTTAATCCAGTTATGCATTTCATCAGAATCATGGATTAAATAACGAGTTATTTTACGTGAATGGATGTTGACACTTGATTTGGCGAATACAGGAAAGCCACCAAGTTTTGTAGCGATAAGTTCCAACCATACCGATGGCTCAGTTTTCAATGAAATCACGGTTTGTCTAAGTGTATTATTCTTAAATTAATGACAGAAATATTTAATCAGTTTTAAATAACAAATTTTTATTTCAAATTAGTATCTTGCATTATTGTTGATTATAAATTTATATGTGCTGGAAATTAATACAATAAAAAATTATTTCTTCAATTTTAAAATGGTAAAGTTTTGAAAATAAAAATTTCTTACTTATTTGTTTTTGTTTTTTTAATTATCATATTTATTTATTAATTTGGCCAGAATTATTTATGTATGTATGATTTGTGCAATATTTAATTGCACAAAAATTATCGGACGATAAACCTTCCTTTATTTTTTTAGTATGAACAACTTTAAAACAAAGCAATGTGATAAATTAGTTTAATTTCATTCAAAAAGTTAGCATGAAAATAATTAATACTCAAATAAGTAATAAGTAGTATATATATATTAGTAGTATATATATAGGTTTTCAAAATAACCGATATTTTCCCGGAAAAATTATTTCTTCTTCCTGTTTTGTAATTCCAATAATTTTTGTTGAAGCGAAGGAATTCAAATGACAAGAAATTATGTATTATTTCAAATTTGATTGTTTTATGGAAAATTCTAAATTTGTAGTTAGTTTATATTTCAGGTGTTATCCTTTATAGCTTAGGAATTTTTTATATGATTTTTTATTGAAAAAATAATCACTTTGTTCGACTGCAAAGTATCGAGCCTATAAGCTATTTTCATCTTACTTTTGAAGCAATATTTATATTACTTTACCTTAATGTCATAAGTCCGTTTCTTCTAGCAATTAGTTTCATTTCCTTCATATGTATTACTTGTTCCACTTGATCTGGCACAAGTCCTTCAACTCCTAATTCAAATCTGAAATACCTTTGAATTTTTTTTTGATACAGCATTGGCCGGGACTAAATGATGCCGAAAAAATACTGAAAATAACAAATTTTATTGTAAAATAACACTTGACTGAACCATGTCGAAAACTGAAATTAGTAATTAATAGGTAAGCATCATTAAAACAGAATGTAACGCTAGACTAAAGTAAATGGGATTTTGAATACTGTAAAGAATGAATGAATTGAAAAAACTATCACATAAGGACCTGATTTTAGCTATCAAATATTGCAGTTCTGCTTCGAAAACGACAATGATTCTTCTAGTTGAACCATAATTTGATGCAAGTTCACGAACTTTGTCCATCAAAGAAGAATGACAATGGTCACGAGGTCCGAAACCTGCTTGGATTTGACAGTACACATCAACGCTGTAACAGATTTAAACGAATTCTATTAACCTTTATGTCCTCACTCGTAGTTACTAAATTATTTTATTTGATTCACACGAATAACTGATGTTAAGAAGTCTAAATTTAAGGTATGGAATGAAATTAAATATTCAGTTAGTGAAAACCGTTTTGTTTCAGTTTCTTACAATCGGCTTGAAGTCATTAACGTGCAATTAATAATGAAGCAGCATTCAATTTTATCCAACTATTTTACTGATTACTTTTGGATAATTGTATGATAATATCAATGCTGATAGAGCTATATAAATTAATATCTATGTAGATGGTTATTACTTTTTAGCTGAAATAAAAATGTCAATGTTTGCTTATTAATCAATCAGTTAACTTACTAATTAATTAATTAATTAACTCACCAGATGTCATCGGTAATTGAGTTCTCAGGTCCCACCACAACTAACTTAAAGTTATTGTTATTTTTGGAAGAATTAATCGCGGTTGGCTTGTAATAGCCGTGGAAGTTCAATCGGTGTCGCCATAACACAATTATTAGCGTAGTCATATCACTCACTTGTCGGGATTATCTCCGAGAGTGGTTCTGGTCAGAAAGCACTTCCACTTTTTAAACTTTCATTTTGTTTCCTTTCACTTTCACTAAATAAATGTCAAAGTTTGATTATTACTCACTTCTTACTTACGTCATCTACGAGAAGTCTAAAGTAATAGTTGAGAAACGTGCTCTATCCAAAGTTAACATTCACATGTTTGCACTACTTTTCAAATGTCTATTTGCTGAATAGTTACTTTCATATAAATCAAAGTTATTATCACATGCTGAATTGTGCTAGTTATGATCATAAATGCATGAATACAGTAATATACTAAATTGTATAGCTACCAAATTTATTGCTTAAACTGTCAGTTTAGAATGAAAACTTTTTGAAATTAGTGTTTGAATTTTTAGTTAATGCAAACAGAGGTGAGTGTTCATTGAACTCTGAGACATTTATTGAGTATTCAATAAACTGTTATGATATGTTGAACTAATTAGCCACTACACACTCTTCATTATTACACCAGTTCACTTCTTAGACTATTTAGTGGAGATTATTGAGTGCAATTATTGTTATTAGCAATTAAGCAGTCAACTAATTATACACTGAATTATATGATTAATTGACAACTTAAAATAATAATAATAACAATAGTAATAATAATAACAACAGTAATAATAATAAATTCGTTATCACTAACTTCAACAGCACTGATCTCACAAATTCTAAATTGCAATATTGACAGCTTATAATAAAATAATAATAATAATAATAATAATTAATAATAATAATAATACTAACAGTAATAACAGTAATAAATTCGTTATCACTAACTTTAACAGCACTGAATTCTGAAATTGCAATACATGTCATGCAGATTATCAAAGACTTAAATGAAATAATATTAACCGCGTTATTATTTTATATGATAAGTTCATGCAGTACTGAATTGTTGTTTGCTTTTATTAGGTTTCAAATGAAATAATGCTAAAAAAGTATGCAGTTTGTGTTCGTAATCATTATCCAATCAATAAGGATTTTTTTTTTTAAAAAAAATGTGTTAAAGGAAATTGTTATTAAAATTTAAGTCGATGAAAAAACCAATGTATTAGTAAATAAAGTGAAAATTGAACTTGCAAAAATATAAAAAATTAATGAAAAAAACTAAGCAAACACATTGGCGTTATTGATCAATGAACAAATAAAGGTCAAATAGGAAGTGGAATATATAGCAAAAGCAGCAAATTTCAATACTAACTAAAAATATAACTTATAAATAATTAAACAGGAAGAATGAGTGAGTCACGGAATTTTGGTATTTTATTTGTTTTTTAAATCTGTGATTTGTTATATTATGTTTATTTCGTTTTTGCATTGTTGAATTGCTATGGCAGTAGAAATTTGTGCATTATTTCTGAAGAAAGAAGTCTAATTTTAATTTATTTTCACCAAAAAAATTAAATTATTATAGTATGAAATATGCTCAAATGACTTTACAAGTAATCGGTACTGTAATTTGCATTTTTGTATTATAAATAAGAAATAAATAAATAATTTATTAATAATAATATATCATGCAAAAAATGAATACTCACTTACTTGCTGGAATGATTACCAAAATTGGCAGTATTATGCATAGAAAAGCAGTAAAAAATTTAACAATGTAGCAATCAAATAATAGAAATTTACTTGCACGAAATAGAAAGTTTAGAACTAAGCTAACCTCTCATACAATTTTTTTCAGCTTGGTACTAAGAAATTATTAAATTTATCAGAACAGAATTTGGTTTATAGGCCTATTCAGGCTTATAATCCAAATTCTGCTTGATGGCTCTTAAATTAGCAGGCGATGGATGTGTTTAATTAAGTAATATTATTGATCTAACAATTCTTTGTACTATATTAAATTAAGCAAAGTAAGTACATTTATAGTTATTCTAATTTTATCACTGCAACAATGGAAGACTACAAATCGTATCATTTAGTACTGTATGGATAATCGAAGTGGACAAAGCTTTGCCGCGAATTTTCGTTGACAATTCAATTCAATTGCACAATAAGAAATATAAATAAGTGAATAATCTAAATATGAAAAAATAGCAATAATATTAATTCCAATAATTATTACTCAATTTCAGTGCATGCAACGTTTTATAGAAAACAATTTGTTGAGTAATACAAACAGCAGAAAATATTGATGTTTGGCACTGATAGCGCTGAAATGATAAAAGTATTTGCAACAGTCATATCATTGCTTCGTTTAGAACTGCTCGAAAATTAATTATACAAAAATTATTAATTAATTAATTACTTATTTAGTTATCAATTACGTTAATTACTCTGTTCTATTCGATTTAACACGTTGTTATTTTTTTTCACAATGTTACTAGTCATTTGTTTATTGTATTTCTTTGTCTGCGTTAATTTTATCAGTTGGATAATTCAACCTGTTGATGTAAAACATCATTTTACAATCACTCACCGCAAATTGATAGTTTTTTTTTTCATACAGCACAAAAAAAATTACGAATGCAATTGAAAAACTGCAAAATTTACTTTTTAATTTACTTAATTTTAAAACCGATAAACTTAATTATCATCTACTGATTGATTATTATGTATTAATGATTATTGTGTATTGATATTGATCAATATAATTGTCAATTGCGTTTATGGACAGTGTTAATCTCTTAATAAAAAAGTCATATATTTGACCAACTGCAGCTGCGTACAATTTATTGACATTAGAACCAAACCGGTAATGTTTTACTGAAATTACTTATCACTAGGAATAGTTCAATAAATGAATTAATAGTACCGTATTACGGATCGTACAGTTATTATTATGAATTAATTTATCTGCAAAATCAACCTATTTTGCTACTTCTAAGATCTCTGCAAATCATTCTTAAACATTTTTTCATTCATTATTCAAACTTGCTTCTATAAAATATAATCTTAAAGCAACAGCAGACAGGGTTGTAATGCAATCATTGAGCGCTTAATAATAAGTATTTAAGTATTTAAGTATAAAACGAGAATTAGTCTTTCTTCCTGCCATAAAAAGCTTTTAATCAAATATAGTCGTTAGTTATATCAAAAATATTAATAGCAGTGACATTCGAACACATTTGTATAACAATAGCTTGCACATATAATCAGTAAAAACATGATCAAATCATAGCTTATAGCTCAGTTCAAAAACTAACTCTTGAAAAAATATCGCAAAATGAAAAGATAAAATGGTTCAAAATTATCAAAGTAACTTGTAATAGTAACTTTATTGCAATTACAATAACTTATAGTATTAGTTTGTATTTTGATTTGCTACAATGCCATTTTTGTCTTCTGATGCACAAATAGTACAAATAGTTCAATTTCTGCATTCTAAAATACAGAATTTTACTTGCTATTACTTAGTTTCATTTTGTGAGATAAAAAAGTAAAACTGGTTTCTGCAACATTCAAGTAGCCTATTACTGCTTCATTATTAGAGATTTTGTGAAAAATACTTATTATCATTTCGTTTCTAATATTATTTTATCATTACTGAAAGCATAATAAAATAATATTTATTTTTAATCTCGATAATGAAACTAAGAAATTAAGTAATAATATTTGATTTTATTGCTTTAAAAAAGCGATTATTTTTGTGCAAAGAGCATAAATAAAGCAAAAATGGATAATTTTTTCTGAATGCTTTCAAATATTGACATTTTTTGCTTGAATAGCAATCAGATTTGTCAGCAAAAAAGCTAAAAATATGCAAATTTGCATAAATACTAACGACGAAGGCAATAATCACAAATTACACAGACATCATCGATAGAGAAACTTTCTGAAATACTACTCTCTTTGCCAATAATTTAAAAATCTGATTTTGATGGCTTATTTTTTCTGAAGCTTTTGATCAATTTCTTGACAATAATAGTGATTGATTATGGCAGAAATAAAACTTTGCTCTGTGCAAAATGGCGAATAAAATTTTATAAAAATGAAAAAAATTTAATAAAAGATTCTCGACAAGGCCGAAAACTCAAAACAGTTCAACAACTTAGACATGGATTAGCATAAGTAATCAGAAGAAGAAGCAATGACTAACTAATCAAGCACTAGGCCCTTTTTTTGCTAGGCTAAAGTAAAACAAAAATCAATACATGAGGTTTTTTATTGGTCGTTGGGAAGACACAAACGATTGGTAAATTGCTTGGCCATGCAGATGAGTGCCAAGCTTGGATATTCAAATGGATTTAAGCTTGTCTACTGATGTACTGCCAACTTTACAAATCAATGAAGTCAAGCTTGGCTATTTAAATAGATCTGAGCTTGAATGTTCACTGAAATACACTTATCAAGCTTGGCCACAGAATTTGAAATTAGCTTTTAACGTAAAATTTCACTACAAATAAAAACTACAATTAATTTGATAAATTGTATTGAAAAATCAAATAATGTGCTAACTTGTTATTAAACTTAAAGCTATATTTGAAATTGACTAACATAACTTACTAGAAAAATATCAATTTTTACTGCTAGAATTCGCAAACAAACAGCTGATCAGTCTCTCACTTTATCGATTCGTTTGTATATATTCGATCATTCGACATTGATTTTAACGAAAAAGAATTTTTACAATTGTAATCTTATTTCTTTTATTTTTAGTATTTGATCACTTTTACATTAGGACTCTGAATTTGTTTGTCAGCTCTCAGAGCAGTAAAGTTGATCTGATCCCTCACTTTTTTGTAAGGTTTATTAAAATTAAAATAAATGATTTTGATTGATTTATTTTTAAAAAAATATTTTCTCAAAAGTTAAAAAAAAATTCAACTATGATCGAATTCTATTGTCATTGAGATGGAAAAAGTTTTAAAGATGAAAAATTGTATTCATTTTTTACCTTAATAAGCAATTTAACAATTACATAGGGATAAAATGAAAACTGTTATTAATATGCATAAAATCTGTTAAGTAAGTGGACAGAAGTGCAAAGTATATGCAAATGAGTTCATATTAATATCAAAGTTATTGTCAAAAATTATTTGCAAATGCGTTTAGATTAAAAATTATTTACAACGACACAAATCAAAAGAATATTTGTGAAATTTGAATACTGCTCATATGTACAATATTCAAATTACGTACCTGTTTCTACCAGAAAAACTTAATATTTTCATATTTTATTCATTTAAGGATGATAACTCGTAATTATTGGTTTATTTGGATAATATTAACAATAAATAATGATGGATAACTTGAAGATCGAAAAAAATAGATGTTCTGAAAATTCAGTAGGAATTTTTATGAATAATAATTGTTATTTTACTGTAAAATAGTGAGTTTACGTTGCACAACAATTTTTATGAGATATTTTTTTATTATGTATAGACTAAAATTTAAAAAAAGGAAGATTCTTTTGCTAAATCTTTTTTTCTAAATTTTAATTAATAAAATTAATTAACTAATTATGTCAGTGGGGATATACAGAAACTTCATCATCATCACTTCACACTGCGATTTTGGACGATAATGCGCAAGTAAACATGAATTTTCTAACTTTTAGTTAGAAACTTTTGAATTAATTAAAAAGTTATCTTTATTTTCATGCAAGCTTTAATATATATAAAATATTTGTTTACAGTTTTACTTTAATATTAATGGATTATTCGAGAATAATTGTTTTTTATACACGATTACATTTGAATTTTTATTCGCAGCAGTGAAAAATTATTTAAAAAATAATAATTCGTGAAGAATTCATTTTTTATAGTTTTCAACAAACATTAAATGGCTTTACTTTCTAAATGAATTATTAATCTTTTCTTTTAATTTCTGAAAATTATTTTCAAAAAGACACAACGAAGAATTGTTTCTGAAGCCAAATATCTCTGTTAAATTTGTAAAGAATACTCAATTTCACTGCTTTAGTTATTTTCTAAAAATCTGCTTAGTAACTCTAAAGTTGGTTAAAAGTTATATTCAGGAAAAGGAAAAGAATGAAGCAAGGATTACTATGAATCGAATATTTGGTACAATAATATGATAATTAATGATTATTTCTGACAACAATATTGCGTCTGATTATTTCACTTCTGAATTTATCAGAACTAATCAGTGATTAATAGCCATTTCAGATTATAACTTTCTACTATGCTAAACATTATAGTTAATAAATAATGAAAAACTGATTCAAAATCTTTCTCAACTTAATACTTTGTTTAAATTCAAACTTCCAATAAAATAAAACTTGTATGACTTATATTTATTTATTTTTCCATGATTATATATTCCAGTTCAATGTTCTAGGACTAACACTTTGCTTATCACTGATATATTTTTTCCTCTGGATCGCATTAATAGTTGTTGGTACTGCAAATATTCGAGACTGTCCATTAGATAATCGGTTACCAATTTGGATGATTGTTTATGGTTCTATTGGTTTAATGGTTGGAATTATGTATAGCTATACCAGATTTCCCGGATTTTGGTATTTCATATTCGTGACAGCACTAGTTGGTTAAGTATTTATATTTATTTTTAGCTTTAAAAATACTCTCTAATTACGAATATTTTGTTGTGAAAAAGTTACAATCAAAATATAATCGTAATATTATTGTATCTAGTCTTTTATTGCTACAGATTATATCCTGTGCTTGCTATCTGATATGTTATAACAAGAAAAATTGAAAGATAACAAATATTACGTTCTTATCATGTGTTACCTTCTAATTGTATTATTATTTTATAATTCATGAATATTTTTTACAATTACATTCAAACATTGAAGTTCATTTATAATATCCAGCACGTGGCAAAACCATATTTTTCATATAAGTACTGATAAAATTTATCTTTGAAGACTTGTAGTTGTAAAATATTAATAATTAAGATCGCTATTTGTATCTTAAAGTATTTTTGTTTTAAAAAAAGCAATGAATACTAAATTATAGTAGAATATGAAGTTAATAGAAGTTGAATAATTATCATTTTATCATTTGTTAAAGAATTAAAAAATTGTGAGAAAATTCAGTCATTATTTCAAAGTTTAGAAAAATTTGATAATATCAAACAATTTTTCTAATTGCAGTATTCAAAAGCGTTTGCTTTTTTTTACTATAAAAAGTATTATTAATAGTTTATTTAAAGTCTACGAAAGATGCAGAAATTCATTGATAGTTATAACTTTACAGATAGATAACAATATCCATTTAAAAAAGTTATACTTTTCGTAACACAACAAAACTTATAATTATTGTACATTTGTGTATGCAAAATTAATTTATCATTTAATATCACAAGCATAAATTTGAATAATTTTGTAAAATTGCAGGAGCGGCGATAATATACCCAAATTACAATAAAGTTCAGCATGTAAACAGTCTTGACCCTTTCTATTGCCCTCAGTCGGTTTACTTTTTGTCATTTATTACTGTCACCATTGATTTAATATTCTTCTGTATGTCCATTTTATGCATTTGCTTTATAATTTGCTACACTATTTTAGTATAATTTTAAAAACTAGGAGTACTGTACCTAATTACAAGTAATCAAAAGTATACTTACTTTCAAAATTATGAAAAATACTTCATTAATTAAAATAAAGACTGATTAACTGCTCTCTTCATTTTAAGTACACTAAAAAATTTGAATGGGATGATTTAGATTTGATTAAAATTTCTCGTATTCAGTTCCTTTAATTAAAATTAATTGTATTCAATTAATTTGAAGTTTGATCAAAGTATTCATTATATTTGTTCAAAAAATCCTTAAATTAGAGTATTTGAATATAATTATGTAAAACATATGTTTACGATATAAATAAAGGCAAAGAATTTGATGAAACTCAGTGTAATATTTTAAAGAAACTTCTGAGAATCATTTTTGTATAAATTAAGATATCTAATTTGCAGAAAAAGAATATATTCATTTGAAAAAATTCTAAATGTGAAGTTACGTAATTATAGTTACTTTTTTGTAAAGGGTATATATATATA